GCCCGATTGTCTGAGATGCCGGTCACCTCACACGGCTTATCCTTTACACCTTTAGTGACTTCAAGCTGCACGTCTTCCCCCCCTTGGAAAATGAGCGGGACCCAGCCTCCAGGACCCTGGGCCATCTGCTTCCCCGGCAGCTCCCGCAAGGGCCTGCCGCAGCCCCGGGCAGGACCAGAGGCACAGCCGCCCGTCCACAGGGCCCCTGGCCTTTCTCACCAGCACCCCACACATCCCCACGTCTTGCTGGATTTGTTTTACAGTTGAACATCCGTGCGGAAAAATGCCTCTTCTGGAAAAAAGAAACGGCAGCAACCCCCAAGGCCGAATCGTGGGTGGTCACGTCTGCCCCAAAGGGGAGTGCCCCTGGCAGGTAAGGCTCCAGGAGCATTGGGTCGAACTTGGGTGACGATCCCGGGCATGCACAGAGGAGTCCAGCCCCGGCGTGCCCACTCTCTGGCCAGCGTCCACCAGTTTTCCACTCCCTTAGCCGGATGGAAGTAGCCTGTAAAGCAGCCCCCATCCGGGGTGCATGGGAAAGGGGAGCCCCCAAGGCAGCCACGACAGGAACGCGAGCTTCCAGCATCTGCTGTGCCCTTGTCAGGCCATGCTGAAGCTGAATGGGGCGCTGCTGTGCGGGGGCTCCCTGATCGACACCGTCTGGGTGGTCTCCGCAGCGCACTGTTTCGACAGACTCAGAAGCTGGAGGAACCTGACAGTGGTGCTGGGTAGGTTGCATGGCGCCTCCTTCTGCCGGGAGACGATCCTTGAATGATAACCTCGGGGCTAAGATTTGGGGCTTCCACGACCAGTGACCTTCCCCACAAAGAGAAGTGGCAGCGTCTGGGCAGACCCCATACCCACAGCGCCACTGTGGCCACCCCCCTCAGCCTCTTTGCCACCCAGATGCGGCCCTGGGGTGACGCTGCTCCCGCCAAGGTCCCCGAGGGGGTGCCCCACCCAAGGCTGTGCTGCCCAGTGGCTTTAGGGGACGACGAGGACCCCAGGAGGGCCAGGCCCTGTCTGGAAGAACCAGGGGAATGGGGCACCCTCTCCTCACCCAGCCACGGCTGCCCGCCCGACCCCCTCACCTGCCTCCAGCACCTCGGGGCCATATCCGCCCCGACTCACACCCACGCTGACCCCCCGGCAGCCCCAGGAGGCTGCTCGCCCACCAGGGGCAGGGGATGCAGGGCACCTCCTGCCCGACAGGAGACCCTGGCCCGGAAGGCGAGGCGGGAAGTGAGTGGACGGTCCGCCCCCGCCCCCCGGCCCCCCCGCAGGCGAGCACGACCTCAGCCAGGATGAGGGTGACGAGCAGGAGAGGCAGGTGGCTCAGGTCATCATCCCCGACAAGTACGTCCGGGGCAAGACGGACCACGACCTGGCCCTGCTGCGCCTGGCGCGGCCCGTGGCCCTCGGCGACCACGTGGCGCCCCTCTGCCTGCCCGAGCGGGCCTTCGCGGAGCGGACGCTGGCCTTCGTGCGCTTCTCGGCTGTCAGCGGCTGGGGCCAGCTCCTGGACCGCGGTGCCACGGCCCTCCGGCTCATGACCGTGCACGTGCCCAGGCTCCTGACCCAGGACTGCCGGCAGCAGTCACGCCGGAGGCCCGGCGGCCCCATCATCACTGACAACATGTTCTGCGCCGGCTACACGGACGGCAGCAAGGACGCCTGCAAGGGGGACAGTGGGGGCCCGCACGCCACCCGCTTCCAGGGCACCTGGTACCTGACGGGCATCATCAGCTGGGGCGAGGGCTGCGCAGCCGCCGGCCACTTCGGCGTCTACACCCGGGTCTCCCAGTACACGGCCTGGCTCCGCCGTCTCATGGGCTCCCCGCCGCCCTTGGGGGGCCTCGTCCGGGCCCCACTGCTGCCCTAGCGCCCGCCCCACAAATAAAGCCGCCGTGTGTGCCCGGTCTTCCCGCGCCAAAGCCGGAAATTCTCCTGTGGTTCTTGGGGCGGGGGAGGGGGAAGCAGAAACAGAGACAGAGAGACACAGAGACACAGAGGGGGAGACACAGAGACAGGGAGACTGACAGAGAGAGACTGAGGGATGGACAGACAGACAGAAACCTGAGGGAGATTCTGAGCAGCTGGAGAGAGAGAGAGACTGAGCATCAAAGAGGCAGACGTGGTGGGGGGACAGAAGGTGGCACACTGGGCAGAGTACGCGGGGACTGGGTGCGCTGGGCCGGCAGCAGAGGCGGGAGTGTCCACCCCCGGTGACGTGTCCACCCATGGTGACGGTGCCGCTTCCCCACACGTTCGTCTCTCACTCAAGCGTTTCATCTTCTTTGCAGATAAACTGTTAGCATCCGCCACTCACTGTGCTGAACATCCTTCCAGATCTTTTCTTTTTATAAATTTATTTATTTATTTTTGGCTGCGTTGGGTCTTCGTTGCTGCGCGCAGGCTTTCTCTAGTTGAGGTGAGCGGGGGCTACTCTTCGTTGCGGTGCACGGGCTTCTCACTGCGGTGGCTTCTCTTGTTGCAGAGCACGGGCTCTAGGTGCACGAGCTTCAGTAGTTGTGGCACGTGGGCTCAGTAGTTGTGGCTCACGGGCTCTAGAGTGCAGGCTCAGTAGTTGTGGCACGCCAGCTCAGTAGTTGTGGCGCACAGGCTTAGTTGCTCCGCGGCATGTGGGAGCTTCCCGGACCAGGGCTCGAACCCGTGTCCCCTGCATTGGCAGGCAGATTCTTAACCATTGCACCACCAGGGAAGTCCCCAGATCTTTTCTAAGTGTGCGGACTTTACGGTAACACGCGGCCTCATGCTCTGCACACCTGCTCCCCCACTGACAGCAAGCAGCCCAGCCTCCTCCAAGCCCCTGGTGGCTGCCTGCCCTCCCCGAATTGTCCAGAGGCATTTCACAGAGACCCTTGTGTTTATCTTTGAGCAGGTCTCCTTCACAATCACCAACTTTGCTGAAGTGAACCTTGCATGAGGCCGTTTCCAAACACGACAGCTCTCGTGGATTTGGAAGCTATAGTCCCCAACCCTGAGGACTGGGTGTCTCTTCCAGCCGAGGCCCCAGCAGATGACCCCTGCCTGGGGACCAGCAGGGATGTTCCAAAAATGCAGGTTCCCAAGGTCCTGCCCAGCTCAGTGGGATAGGGGTGAGGCCCCTTGACCTACCTTCTTATCGAGTCCCTCAGGTGATGGGCACACAGGCCTCACGTTGGCAAGAATGAGGAACCAGGGACCAAGGAGGGGAGCATCTGACCCCACCTGAACCCAGCCAGGCGGGCAAGGCCACCCCGGCAGGCGCCCACCTCCTCAGGACTCACCCGTCCCGGCCTGGGACGCCGTGCTTAAAGTGCCAGACGTGCTCTGGCGGACAGTCCAGCCTGTTGAGTAACCAGGGCTCCGCAAGCCTGGCCACATGCTCACCATCTGAGCCTTTACAGAAACACTTTGCTGCCCCATCAGGTGGTGGTTTCTGGGGTTCTCGCCGGGCACAAGTTGAGAGCTCCGACCTTGGGCCAGACCTCCTGGGGTGGCTCTGGCTCTGGCCCCCTCAGAGGCACCACCAACCCTCTCCGCCCCTCGTTTCATCTACAAGATGAGGCCCGCTGCCATGCTTGTCATGAGGATGAAACCAGTGCAGGTAAAATGAGGCACTGGGAGGACAGGCCACCTGGCCAAGGCCAGGAAAGCCGATATGCAAACGTCCAGGTGCCCCCAGCTCACAGCTCAGGCTGCAGACACTCGAGAAATTCTGCAACCAAAATGCCCGAGGTCTCCAGAGGCCCTGAGCCCAGTGGGCCTCTTGTTTCTTCCTGGAAATGAAAACTGGCTGGACCCCTCTTCCTGGGAAGAAAAGGGGATGTGGGGTTCAAAGGGCCAAGCCAGGAGCCCACTCAGACCCCACAGGGGGTCAGCAGGTCGTTGGTGGGCTGCTGGCTCTGCCCCGCTTTCCCCGGCCTCACTGCTGCGGTGGGCGCAGTGCCAGGCCACGCTGCAGTGCATCACCCGCATGGACCATCTCCCCTCGCCAGGCGTGGAGAATCCAGTCTCGCCCCACACGCCCAGCAGTGCAGAGACAGGGCAGCACAGAGGCCAGGTGAGCCAGGCCCAGGGACCAGGCTCTGCACATCACACTGACCACCCTGCGAAAGACCAGCCCTGGCCTGGGCGCCCAGCAGGAGCGTTCTGGGACATCACCGATTCGTTCAGTCCACTGGTGTTTACTGAGCACCTACTGTGTGCCAGACACCCCTCCCCATGCTGGACAGAGCAGCGAACAAGCCAAGCGACCAGGGTGTCATACGTGGGAAGCGTCAGGTGTGCTCGGTGCGTGGAGCACAGCACAACCCCCTCATCTCCCAGCACAAGCACTCACCCCACCAGCAGTTCCCAGGCCTCTTCCTCCAGAGCCTGGACTCTGCTGCAGAGCCCCGGTCAGCTGAGAAGCTCGGGCCGTGTCCCACACCTGCCACTCCAGGGAGGGGAGGTTCCTGGCTGGCAGATCAGCCCAGGGGCCCATGTGGTGCACACACCTCCCGCCCAGCGTGGGCAGAAAGCCCCGGGTCCTAACCCCGCGTCCACCACACACGGCCATGGACTAACGCTCCATCTCTCTCTAAACCTGTCCTAGAGAAAAGATGTTTTCTGTCCTAAAGATGGGCAAATGATACTTGGCTTTTATCGTGGTTGTGAGAACAAAAACAGAGCTAGACATAAACATCTGAAAACTATACAATGACGTTTTTTTCTCTCTCAGAACAAAGAGCTCCTGTGCCCACAGCAGGCCTCCCGGACATGGTTCCTGACAAGCACAAGGTTGGGCCAGGACCTCCCTGCGCTACACAGGCCAGGGTGACCATGCCCTCAGTGCAGTCGCCTGCCCCTAACCTCCCCCCGCCTCCCCTGCCACTGGGCAGGCCCAGGCTCCAATCAGGAGGCTGTGATAAACAGAAGGACACCCAGCCACCCTCCAGCCAGGGTGAGTGAACCTTGCTCCAGAGGCCTGTCACGGCGGGGACGGAGTGCTGTCCTCGGCCACACCATGGCGGGCTGGCTGTGTTTCTTCCTTCTCGGCGCCTCCCTGGCTGGCCTCCTGCTGCCGGGGGCAAGTGGTAAGTGCCCCTCACCCTGCAGACTGCAGGGCTGGCCCTGGGGAGGAGGAGAGAGGGTGAGGGGTCAGGGCGATGCCCCTGAACTTCCACAGTGTGGAGGGTGGGTGCCCATCCCCTGTGGGAGGCTGGCACAAGAGCCTGGCTTGGTGGTTTCAGCCAAGCGTATCTTAGGGCCAGGTGTGCCTCCCTGTGGGTGGAGAGTCAGACAGCAGATCACAGATCACAAAGACAGACAGAAACATGGGCAGAGAGGGAGGGAGAGGGAGAGAGACAGAGACAGAGAGGGAGGGAGATGGAGGGAGGGGGAGGGGGGGCAGTGACAGAGACACAGAGAAGCCCCCTTCCTCTGCCAGAGCAGACTGCGGGCACAGAGGCTAGGGGGTCACAGGCAGAGAGGAGCTTCCATGGCAGGGAAGAGGGTGACAGCCAGTGCCACCACCTGCAGGCTGGCTCCGCCAGGGGGCTCTAGGCTTTCTGGGACTCCAGACCTGTCCAAGAGAAGAAGCCAGAAAGGACAGAGCAGAGTGGAGGCAGCCCCGGGGGCCTGTCTGCGTGTTTGCACTCTGGGTGACGTGGAAGTTCAGGGGCCCAGGCTCGTGGGAGAAGGAAAGGGTGAAAAGTGAGAAAGAGAAACAAACCAAACAGGAGCGGGGGAGACCAGGTAGGGGAAGGAGGGAGGGGAGGAATGGGTGTGTGGCTTGTATTTCAAAGCAAGCGCTCCCTGGTGGAGCAGACGTTTGGAGTAATGGAGGTTGGGCCCACACAGAACAAACGTGAGCCTGGCCTTGCCGGGAAAACATAGGTGCCACTAAAAGAAATGGGGAATTTGTAAGGGAAAGTAATTTGAGGTAGGATCGAGTGAACACTCGGAGTTCTATACACTCTTTAAAACAACTCTAAGAAGTAGGTATCTAATTCCCACTTGCCAATATTCAGTAGTAGGTGACCAAGATGCATTTGCCACTCAAGACAGTTTGATTCTGCAGTCCTGTTTTTTAGTTTTGGACATGGGGAGTCTGGAGTTCTGATGTGAGGGCAGACATCCATCACTGTGAGAGAGCTGAAAACACAGAGCTCACGATGGAAGCTGGGACTAGAAATACCAACTTGGAGAGTCATCTTCCTTATGGTGAGACTCTCAGTTCCCCAGAAGAAAAGAGACAGAGAGCAGGGCAGAGCGGCGCCAAGAAAAGGACCTGAGGGCCTCCCACAGCACGGTGAAAAGGGGCAGAGGAGTGGGTGAGACCGGGGAGACCCAGGCGGCTCGGTAGGGACTACTGAGGGCAGAGGGGAGAGATCCCTGATGGGGGAGATCTCTGAGCCAGCACACTTTAACTGGCAGGTCAATTTAGTGAGCTTTTTTTTTTTTTTAATGAAACAGGACAGAAGTAGAAAATTGTGTAACAAGTACTGTTTCGTAGAAAAAAATAGTAAGCACTATTTCTTGAAACTTTTGTTTTACTCTTGTGTACGTGTGTCCTGGGACTTGAAACAAATCATACTTTTAATTGTAGATCGTGCGTGTCACCTCCCCACCTAACGCAGAGCTGAGACCCTGAAGGGTGGGGAGCGGGGGCGGAGGGGAACAGCTGAGCCACAGAACGGAGTGGAGGGCCGGGGGAGGCAGGAGGGACCGAAGGGCGAGTTCCAGAAGGAGGGCTCGGGTCTCAGCGCGGGGCCGGGTGTGCGCGTGCAGGACGGGGCAGGTCAGTGGTGGGCGCGCGGGCCCAGGGCAGGCGTCTGACCCGTCACTCGCGGGGGCGGGGGTGGCCCGGGGACGGGACCGCATGTGGGCGAGCACGTGACAGCCGCGTTCCCCACCACAGTGTTCCTGCCCCGGGACCAGGCCCACAGCGTCCTGCAGAGAGTCCGCAGGGCCAACTCGTTTTTGGAGGAGGTGAAGAAGGGAAACCTGGAAAGGGAGTGCCTAGAGGAGGCCTGCTCGTATGAGGAGGCCCGCGAGGTCTTCGAGGACACGGAGAAGACGGTAAGGGGCGGCGCGGCCAGGACGCACTTACAGGGCTGCGGGGGCTTCTGAAGCGCTGTCAGGTCCACCTTAAAACTCAAAATGTTTATCTAAGAACGCGCTGTCGGCCTCGGCAGTGCACAAGGACCCCAGGCCCCGGCTCCTCGCCCACTCAGCCGCCGCCATACTCGCCACCGGGTTCTGGTCCTGAGACCGCAGGGTGGGTCGGTGCGCAGGCGCAGGACGAACGCGGCGTCGAGGCCCGTTCCGTGCCTGCGCGGCAGAGGCGGCAGCGCGGCAGCATCCGCCCCTCCCCCGGAAGAGGTGGGGCCTCCGATGCTGCCCCGGAAGTCTCTGAGGTCCGTTAGCCACCTCCCGTCGTGCTGTCGTGCGGCACTTTGCGTCAGGCCGTGGCGCGGCTTGTCTGCGGTGCAGGGGCCGAGGTGGAGGTGGACGCGGCTGCGAGCCGAAACTGAGCAACCGCGAGCTGAAGACGCCGGACGGCTGAGGAGAAAGTGGCGGAGAAGGAGGCCAAGCAGGAGCCCACGAGAGACAGCCTGGCCGCAGATGGCGGACCCGTCCCCACCACGGGCCCGCAGTGGAGTGTCCAGCGGAGGCTGGGCGCTGGGGGACCCGTGCCACACAGGCTCGTGTAGACTCCCGAGTGGAGGGCCGGGGGAGGCAGGAGGGACCGAAGGGCGAGTTCCAGAAGGAGGGCTCGGGTCTCAGCGCGGGGCCGGGTGTGCGCGTGCAGGACGGGGCAGGTCAGTGGTGGGCGCGCGGGCCCAGGGCAGGCGTCTGACCCGTCACTCGCGGGGGCGGGGGTGGCCCGGGGACGGGACCGCATGTGGGCGAGCACGTGACAGCCGCGTTCCCCACCACAGTGTTCCTGCCCCGGGACCAGGCCCACAGCGTCCTGCAGAGAGTCCGCAGGGCCAACTCGTTTTTGGAGGAGGTGAAGAAGGGAAACCTGGAAAGGGAGTGCCTAGAGGAGGCCTGCTCGTATGAGGAGGCCCGCGAGGTCTTCGAGGACACGGAGAAGACGGTAAGGGGCGGCGCGGCCAGGACGCACTTACAGGGCTGCGGGGGCTTCTGAAGCGCTGTCAGGTCCACCTTAAAACTCAAAATGTTTATCTAAGAACGCGCTGTCGGCCTCGGCAGTGCACAAGGACCCCAGGCCCCGGCTCCTCGCCCACTCAGCCGCCGCCATACTCGCCACCGGGTTCTGGTCCTGAGACCGCAGGGTGGGTCGGTGCGCAGGCGCAGGACGAACGCGGCGTCGAGGCCCGTTCCGTGCCTGCGCGGCAGAGGCGGCAGCGCGGCAGCATCCGCCCCTCCCCCGGAAGAGGTGGGGCCTCCGATGCTGCCCCGGAAGTCTCTGAGGTCCGTTAGCCACCTCCCGTCGTGCTGTCGTGCGGCACTTTGCGTCAGGCCGTGGCGCGGCTTGTCTGCGGTGCAGGGGCCGAGGTGGAGGTGGACGCGGCTGCGAGCCGAAACTGAGCAACCGCGAGCTGAAGACGCCGGACGGCTGAGGAGAAAGTGGCGGAGAAGGAGGCCAAGCAGGAGCCCACGAGAGACAGCCTGGCCGCAGATGGCGGACCCGTCCCCACCACGGGCCCGCAGTGGAGTGTCCAGCGGAGGCTGGGCGCTGGGGGACCCGTGCCACACAGGCTCGTGTAGACTCCCGCCTGCTCGCGGCAGCCTGGACACCACCGGCCTGGCTCACCTTAAAGGTGGCAGGAGAGCTGTGCCCTTGGAGGGCAGGTCCAGCTGCAAGTCATGGCTGAGGGGAGAACTGTTAAGTCGGGAGAAGAATGTACTCAAGTCCATAGCAGACTCTGCCTTGTGGAGTCCAGAGAATCCTGGGAAAACCGAGGAGCAGAGCTGAGAGTCCCTCAGCTCCACGGACTCGCATTACTGTCTTCTTGCTTCCATGGGCACCTCCTCCGCCTTGGGCCGGAAGGCGAGGAAAGGCGGTATCATTGGAGATTCTGACTCCAGCCAGAGTGACTTTGAGGAAGAAGTGGATCCCGCATGCCGAGATGATCACGTGTAGGATAAGTTCCTTGGAAGAGTTGGGGCTCCTAGATGAACTTCCCATGCTGAATGCCGCGTCACGGACAGCTGTGACCAAGCTTTCCATCACCTAGCACAGCCAGCTGGACATGGACTTACGTGTAAGAACTGCGCCAGAACTCCAACTGTAAAATGCTGGTAGTTGGTGGCATTGACTGCGTTTGTGATGTTGGATGCCAGTTCCAGACGGTTTGACTCGAACTCACCACTCGTGAGTTTTACCTGGCCGATTATGATCTCGTGAAATCATGGATATCATATCAGGGGTGCTGAACGTCTTATGGGCAGTTACAAGACCACCCACCATCCAGTCAGCCCAGCAGGCCAAACCCATGAGATGGACTCCACCCCACCCTTCTGGAGAATCAGCACAATAGAAGGGCTCAAGAAAAACCTGGGAGTGAAGCTGCTGGAAACTAACCTCTTCAGAACGGAAGAGACTGAAAAAATTATTGATCACATCTGTGTCGCAAAAACTCCTGAATGTCCTCCACCTCAGACCACAGGCAGACTCCTTGCTAAGCTTGTCAGAGTCCCTGAAAGTGGCTTGCAGCAGCGACCCACTCATCAGCGATCACCCACAGATAACGGCCAGACAGACTGCTCTGGGTCTCACTGAGCAGGTTGAGCTGCTTGTCCTGAGGAGGAAAGTGTGCAGTGCTTACACTGGGTTGAATAGTCCCATACAGCAGCCAGAGGCTTTTAAACAACAGGCCAGAGCCACCAACGAGGATGATGTTCATAGATGAAAACTTCTATACCGCCTGGAATCCAGGCTGCCCCCCATCTGGCTGTGGCATGGACAGTGGCTGCGTCACTGTGTTTCTCACAGTCTACGGTAACATCAAGGAAGTACTCCTGTTCCTGCCATGAAACCTGAAGGTAAGGAGAATGTGGCAACCACTGATACATTGAAAAGCACAATAGTTGGCACTTGTGTCTAGAAAATAATCCTGCAAAAGGTCAAGGTGTGCAAGGGAATTCTTGTGTTGCTGTCCATTTGACTACCATAGTTGATTTCAGCCACCAGAAGAGAGAAGAGGAATTAAGAATTCATTTTTACTCCTTGTTACCAAGTGAACGATTTCTCTCTTTTAAAAAGTTATTCATAATTTCAGGAACTGTTTTTATTTTTAAATGTTCCTTTAATTCACATACACTTAACAGTTTTTTTAAATTATAAAAATAATTGTAGTGCCAAGTTCATGTTCTGCCTTTTTCCTCAGCATCATTTCCCAAAGACTCTTCCTTACTTCCTTAGAACTACCATACTTATAATTTTAAAGAGCTAAGTTGTTTGTTTGTTTGTTTGTTTGTTTTGGCCATGCTGCACAGCTTGTGGGATCTTAGTTCCCCTAACAGGGCTTGAACCCATGCACTCAGCAGTGAAAGTTCAGAGTCCTAACCACCGGACCGCCAGGGAGTTCTCTAAATAATTCATGTGTCAAAGAAGAAGTCTCAAGGGAAGCTAGAAAATACTTTCAGGACTTCCCTGGTGGTGCAGTGGTAAAAATCCACCTTCCAGTGCAGGGGACGTGGGTTCGATGCCTGGTTGGGGAACTAAGGTCCCACATGCTATGGGCCAGCTAAGCCCACACGCCACAACTACTGAGCCCACGTGCCTCAACTAGAGAGCCCACGTGCTGTAAACTACAGAGCCCACATGCTCTGGAGCCCGTGCGCCACAACTAGAGAGAGAAAACCCACATGACACAACTAGAGAGAAGCCCACGCACCGCAACGAAAGATCCCGCGTGCTGTGACAAGGATCCCGCGTGCCACAAGTAAGACCCGACACAGCCAAAAATAAAAATATATATAAATAAATTTTTTGAAAAAAGAAAAGAAAATACTCTCAGCTGAACAAAAATGAATATATAACATACAAAATCTGTGGGATGCAGCTAAACAGTGCTTATCGGGAAATTTATAGCATGAAATGTTTTTACAGGAAAAGAAGTTCTCAAATTGATAATCTAAGCTTCCACCTTAAGACACACACACACAAAAAGGCAAAATAAACCCAAAAGAGGAGAAATCAATAAAATTGAAGAAATAATTTGAAATAATAGAGAAAATCAGTAAAACTGATAAGATTTAACAAGATTGACAAAAAAGAGCACATGAATTGTATCAGGAATGAAATAAGAGATGTCACTGCAGACCCTGCATATGTTAAAAGGATAATAAGAGAATACTATGAACAACTCCATGCACAAATTTGGATGGAATTTTACAATTTGGATGAAATGGACCAATTCCTCAAAACCATGAATTACCAAAACACGTAGTACGACAGAGATATCTGCAAATTCAACTTCTTAGTTAAAAACCTTCTGTAAAGGAAATGTCCAGATCCAGACTGTGTCACAGGTGAGTTTCACCAAACATTTAAAGAAGAAATAACACCAATTCTGTGTAATCTCTTCTAGAAACGGAAAGGGAACACTTGTAAGTTTGTTTTCTATCAGCATTACCCTGATGCCAAAACCCACAAAAACAGAAGAAAAAGAAAAAGAGGGAAGGAGGGAGGGAGGAAGGTAGAAAGAAAGAAAGCTATATAACAACATTTCTCATGAACCTCTTATAAAAATTCTCAACAAATTATTAGCAAATTGAATAAAGCAATATATGTTAAAAAAGAATACACAATGACCAAGTGGGTTTATCTGGGGTACACAAGGCTGGCTCAGTATTTGAAAATCAATAGTGTAATCTACCAGTTTAAAGAAGAAAAATCCACATAATCATATCAGCTGATAGAGAAAAAGCACCTGACAGGATTCAACATCCATTCATGATAAAAAAACCTTTCAGTGATTTCCCTGGTGGTCCAGTGAGTAAGACTCTGTGCTCCCAATGCAGGGGGCAGGGGTTTGATCCCTGGTAGGGTTATGAGATCCTGCACGCGTGCCGCAGCCAAAATATCCTGCATGCCGCGACAAAGACCCAGAGCAGCCAAAAATAAATAAAAATTTAAAAATAAGTGTTTTTAAATAAGTAAATAAAACAATTATTAAAAAAAAAACCTTTTCGGCAAAAACTACAATTAAAAGGGAACTTCCTCAACATGATAAAGATTATTAACAAGGAACCTACAACTGATATCGTGGTGAAAACTGAATGCTTGCCCTTTATACTGGGAAAAAGGCAAGGATGTCCACTTCTAATACACCCAATTCAGCATTGTACTGGAAACCCTAGCCTTAAGGAAGGTTTAACAATAAGCCAAGATAAAGAAATAAAACTCCCTATTTGCAAGTAACGCGATTATCTACATAGAAAATCCCCTGGAATCTGGAAAAAATACTCCTAAAATGTATGTGTCTAGCAAGGTCACAGAATACAAGGTCAGCACACAAATATTAATTGTATTTCTGTGTAGTAGTAATGTGCAGTTAGAAACAAAAAAATTAGTGCCACTTACTGTTGCTCCAAAGAAAAATATGTGTAAATCTAATAAAACATGTACACGACCGGTATGCTGAAATCTGCAAAACGCTAACGAAAGGAAGAGGACCTAAATAAGTAGACATAGAATGTTCATGGTTTGAAAGACTTAACATATTAAAATATTGACTCTTCCCAATTTGATATATAGATTTAATGCAGTGCCAAACTTCCATTAGATAAAGACAGGTTGATTCAATATTTGTAATATGGAAAAACAAATGAATTAGAATAGCTAAAACAATTTTGAGAAAGAAGATAAAGTTGGAGGGATCACACTGCCTCATTTAAAGACTTACTGTAAATCTACATTAATCACAGATATAAGGGACTTGCTTGGTGGTGCAGTGGTTAAGAATCCGCCTGCCAGTGCAAGGGACACAGGTTCAATCCCTGGTCCCAGAAGATCCCACATGCCGTGGAGCAACTAAGCCCGTGCACCACAACTACTGAGCCCGAGTGCTGCAGCTAGCCTGCGTGCCTAGAGTCCATGCTTCGCAACAAGAGAAGCCACTGCAGTGAGAAGCCCATGCACCTCAACGAAGAGTAGCCCCTGCTCGCTACAACTAGAGAAAGCCCGCGCACAGCAATGAAGACCCAAAGCAGCCAAAATAAATAAATAAATAAATAAATAATAAATAAATAAAATGGTAGCGATAGTGATGTGTGGTATTGGTAAAGGGATAAACACATAGATCAAAAGAACAGAATAGAAACTCCATAAATAGACCCATGCAAATATGGCCAGTTGATTTTTTTTTTTTAATATTTATTTATTTAGGCTGTGCCGGGTCTTATTGCAGCATGCGGAATCTTCGTTGCCGCATGCGGGATCTTTAGTTGCGGTATGCATGTGGATTTTAGTTGTGGCATGCATGCGGGATCTAGTTCCCCTACCAGGAATCAAACCTGAGGCCCCAGCATTGGGAGCACAGAGTCTTACCCACTGGACCACTGGGGAAGTCCTTGGCCAATTGATTTTGACAAAGGTGCATAAGCATTTCAATAGAAAAAGAATTCTCTTTTTCAATAAATGGTATTGGAATAATTCTATATGCAAAAAAAGGTCAGCTTTGACCTAAACCTCACAACTATACAAATATTATCTCCAAATGGACCATATAGCTCTAAAGATAAAACAGGAAACTTTTAGGAGAAAATTATCATGACACAAAGTTAAGTTAGGCGAAAATTCTTAGACATGATACCAAAAGCATAATCCATAAAAAGTATATAGATAAATTAGACTTATTCTAAATTTAAAACTTTTGCTCTGTGAAAAACATTAAGAGAATGAAAATACAAGCTATTGACTAAGAAAATATTTGCAAATCACATACCTGCCAAAAGTTTTGTGGTCAGAATATATAAAGAACTCTCACAAGTCCACAGAAGAAAATAAACAACCCAATTAAATACAGTGAGCAAAAGATTTGAACAGACACTTCACCAAAGAGGATACATGGATGGTAAATAAACATACGAGATGATATTCAACATTATTAGCCATTACAGAAATGCAGATTAAAACCACGATGAGGGACTTCCCTGGTGGTCCCGTGGTTAAGACTCCATGCTTCCACTACAGGGGGCATGAGTTCGATACCTGGCCAGGGAACTGAGGTCCCACATGCTGCAAGGTGCGCCCCCCCCCCAAAAAAAAAAAAACCAAAAAACGAGTTGCCACTACACGCCTAGAATAAAAAACAAGTGCTGGTGAAGATGTGGAGCGACCACAGCTCATACATTGCTGTGGGCATGCAAAACGGTACAGCCAGTCTGAAAACCAGTTTGACAGTTTCTTATAAAGTTACCATGTGACTCAGCAATCCCATTCTTGGGTATTTACTGTAGAGAATTGAAAACTTTTAAACAAAACCTGTACATAAATGTTTATAGCAACTCTATTCATAATTGCCGAAAACTAGAAATAGTACAAATATCCTTTGTTGGGTGAATGGATAAACAAAGTGTGGTATGCCACACAGTGGAACACTGCTCATCAGTAAAAGAGAACAAACTATCGACATGCACAGTAACTTGAATGAATTTCAGTTTCAGAGGCACTATGCTGAATGAAGGAAGCTAGTTTCACAAAGTTATATCACGTATGAGTCCATTTACAGGACATTCTCAAGAAGTCATGACTGTAGTGATGCAGAACAGACTCGTGCTGGGCATTCGGAGCGGGGGTGGCCAGTGGCTGGCAAGGTTGGGGGAGATGGAGCTGTTCTGCATCTCGGTTGTGGTGGTGATTATACAAATCTATACATGTGTTGGCTTTTATAGAATTGTACACCAAAAAAAGTCAGTTTTACTGTGTGATAAATTTTTAAATAAAAAATTTAAAAGTGTAGTCATTTCTTAGGCCTTCTGTAACAAAGCACCACAAATTGGGTGTCTTAAAACAACAGAAATTTACTCTCTCACAGTTCTGGAGACCACAAGTCAAAACCAAAGTGTCACCAGGCTTGGTTTCTTCTGGAAGGTCTGAGGGAGGATCTGTTCCATCCTCTCCCCCAGCTTCTGGGGGCGACCAGCAGCCCTTGCTGTTCCTTGGCCGGTAGATACATCACTCCACTCTCTGCCTGCACCTTCACACAGCCTTCTCTCTGTGTGGCCTGTGTGATATTTTATGTCTCTTATAAGGACACTCTCATTGATTGGGGGTCCACCCTAATCCAGTACGAGCTGTTCTCGATCCATAACTTAATTACATCTGCAAAGACCCTCTTTCCATTAAGGTCAAATTCTGAGGTTGCACCTAAGTTGGGGCCGGGGAGTAGGGGAGACACTAATTAACCTACTATAGATAGAAAAAAATTGTTTTAAGACTACGAACATTTCTTTTCAGTGTTACATAGGCTCTTGATGCCCTATTTTAAGCTAATTACCAATTATCTTTTTTTTCAAGTAACATAATGATTATTCTTCAAGCATCTGATCCTGTTTTGAATCTTTGACCCAGGTATCTTAATGTAAAACCACTTATTGATTGGCTTGGGGGTAGCAAATAGAGCAAACCATTTTTGGCACAGTCCGTTTCTTGGCAATTAATTTGAAAATAAATTTTCAATATTTAACAAAGTTGTGCAGATGTGTAAGATGATCGAGCATGGCACCTGGGAAACATTTTGTAATATTAAATGATTCATATTAATCTTAAATTGATATACATGTAGGTCTAGATGTAAATATGTGTGAACTGTAACACTGATTCTTCATATAAAAGCTTGGATATAGGTATTGATTTAAGAGATAGTAAAAAGTTACATGATAATGTTGTATATGACGAAATTTAAATATTTTGTCTTAGAATTACAATTATTTGTCATTATGAATTTATTACAGTGTTTGAATGTGATACATAAAGTGTACAGTTTGCTTCTGAATCTAAGCAATTACTTTAGAGATTTTACTTCAGTTGCTGTTGTCTCAGCACAGTTTCTCCAAACTGAGATTAGTGAAAAACAAACAAATAAAACCTATAGAGAAACTTCTGTGGTTCAAGAAAAGTTATCTAATTTCGAATTACTTAACAGTTGAAGCAAATAATGTGAAAATCTTGATTGTGATCATATCGTTGGTGATTTTGCTAGGATGAAAGTTAGAAAAGTACATTTAATATTACAAAGTGTTGGGGCTTCCCTGGTGGCGCAGTGCTTGAGAGTCCGCCTGCCGATGCAGGAG